GCATTTCCCTGACAGAGCACCCTGTGCGCAGGCTTCTTTCGCGCTTACGCGCCAACCAAGCTCTACAGTCTTCAGCGTCGCCTGGTGATGCTGGCATCAGCAACGAGGCTGGGGAAAAGCGAAATAGTCTCATAGGAGAGTTGACCAACCGAATTGCTGTACTGGCTGAGGAGGACTCAAGCCCGGACAGCGGAGGAGAGAGACGGACAAGCCGGCTCCCCGAAAGCAGATCACCACATCCGCCTGCCTCGAGAACGCCAGAGAAGAGCATAAAGACATCCGCAGGAAGTGAAACGAGTCCACGGAAGCCCAAGTTGACGACCAAAACTTCAGTCAACCAGAGGCCCTACTTCGCTCTGGACAGCAAGCCCATCAAGAAGGAGATTGTAAGCAACCGTGGAATCCCGGCGTCAACGCCCTCCAGCCGGCCGGAGAGGACGAGCCATAGCGAAGCTAGCGTCATGGAGGACACATCGGCAATGCATGTAGTGAATCCCACAGGTCAGGATGAGCCCGTTGATCCGAGCATGAGGCGTAAGCAAAGATTCAAGGGCCAGTATGAACAGGAGGGGATTGAGGCGGGCAAGGGGTGGCAGACCAATCGGTCCGAGGCTAAAGCCAATGCTTCAACGAGCCGAGGACATACCGAGGATTTGTATATAGCGGTAGACAAGGGGCCAAAGCTGACGGCACACAAGCCCAGACCATGTTCGGAGGCATCAAAGGTAGAAGAGGCAATCAAATTGACAGAAAATCAGGTGAGCCGAATCAGTGTCATCCCCACACTTGCAGGGAGAGGACACTAAGAGTGTTGAGGTAGAATTAATTCGGTGTGATAAAGCCTTGTGAAGATAAGTGAGGTCAATCTCCTCACACATGACCATCCTTATTTGCTACTACTTTGAAGTTCAGCTTTACGCAATCCACGAGTCCTTCCACTAAGAGATAAGAAGGCTCGCGATTCTATTGGCGGGTATTTTATGGTAGGAAATATGTAGAACATTTCCTTGCTACTTACAGTAAAATGTGTTTATGTGTTTATGATGATACTTGAAAATGTGTCTTTAGACAGTGTCTCATGTCTCTCTAATGCAACCGTAAAAGCAGGTTTTCCTAGAGGCTTATTGTTAGAGAATACCGTTATCCAAGATCACACCTGTCCTCTGACGTACTGCCCCCCCGTAGTTTTGTAGCGAAGTGATAACCTTGTCAACGCGCATGATCTGGTTGTTAATCTTGTCTAGGATCCTTTCATCTTGGATAAGAAGCTACCTCCTGGGGCATGGATATCTTAAATTCAAAGCGTCGCAAAGCCTACTCATTTCATTGTAATTAATTATTATTCTGGAAATTATTTTATTTACTAAAACTATACACTGGTTAATATAAGAACATTTTTATGGAATATATTGCAAGGGGGCACTATGATTAATTAGTTTGACCCTAAACAAAATAGGGTTAACACAGCTCTTATGTCTGATTTAGTGGAAGTCTTGAAAACCTGCTTATAAAGAAAATATGACATGATTTGTCTATATACAAGGTATATTTCAAATTTTACAGTATTTCTAGAATAATAGCCTAAACAGAATATGCCGTTTAATGTGATTTAAGGAGTTAAGCCCTTCTCATGAACGAATGATAAAGTAATGTAGTCGATTCATATAATAAATATAACTCTGCTTCATCGAAAATCACACCAGAGAATGTGATATGGGAAAATGCCTGGCCTACCTTGACATTCACATCTGCCCTGCGACCCAGGGGAACTCGTGTTAATGTGACTTTGTGGGTAACGTGTCGAAATTACACACTTCACTAGCATGGTTCGAGTCCTGCTCAGGATGTTGATAAGATCTTGGTGACGTCGAAATTGCAGTCCACCCTAAATGAGACTACCTTTTTGGAAGCAAGGTTATGTGAAATTGAATTGAAGCGTCAGCTCTACTCATATCATTGTGGTAAAATTCTACTACCAGTCCTTCATCACTCTAAACGAAATAGGATGAATACATATCATACAACTGACTGACTGGTAGTCCCAAAATTCTACTTAGATACGAAAAATAAGTGGGTTTGATGTTCAGCAGTGACCAGGTGACAAGCAGAGTAGGTGAAAAATGGGTAGAATGAAGGTCAGGAGCCCTGTAAAGGACACCTTGTACCGGTGGGAAAGATGATTACGCTTCACTAACCGCCTTGTAACTACTCACTCTTAGGCGACATTGAAGGAAACGAGATCACAGAATTGTGTGAGTAAGTGTATGGGTCATATGAAGTGGGGTTGCGAAGAAGAGATGCAGCGCTAAAAGGCAGAACAAGGAATAGGGGCAAAGAGTGATGTCGCTACGATTGATCAGAAAATTGGTCAAGAGGATTGATTGCCGCTTTGTCCCAATGATGGCAGCTCTCACTTACGATACCGATTCCGATGTCGGCCAAACGTTTGGGAATGTATCAAGGCAATGTTTCGATGCCAGAAATCACTAATACTATGTAAAAGAACGCATGACTAGGTAGGCTCCACGGGGTCTCACTGCTTCTCCGACAATGTTGTGAAATCGAGATGAAACTAGCACTACAAAGCTAAAAGGGACTTCGACCAGTCCTAAGGCCACACCATCTTGTTCTTCAGATCTATTATTCTCTTTCTGCTTCGCACCTCGTACCTTATGCATCCTTAACATTTTTCATAAGCAATCCTTGCTAAAGTACGTGGGGAAAGGCAGAGAAGGCAGACGACCTCTTGGCAAAATTAGAGTGCCAAAATCACACCTGATTGCCTCACCGCTGGCCTCAGAGACTTTCAAGTGCCCAATAGATTCTCATAAAAGCCATGCATATCGAGGAGCTAAAGTTACACAAGTCCGAGTTCGCATTAATCCAAAAAAATATAACTACTTATTTTCATCAAGCTGCCGATTTTCTATCCACTCATAAATAACATGCTGATATAAAGAGAGGGGATGAATGAGTTGATTGGCACTTGCAAAACTGAATTTAGAAGTTTCACAACTTTCCATGGTAGCTCGGTGCAGAAAGAACCCGGCGTTCGGTATTATCGTCATTTGATACCTAACATCGTAAAATAGAGTGTCCTCGCAACTTGTTTAGAACAACAGGTAGACTTCATGGAGGGTAACTATTCCTGCAGTCTCTGTCATAGTATTCATGATAATTTCCAGCATCAGACCGGAAACTTGGTGCATTCACAGACGTGTTCTGCATCATCAGTGAGAGGCGAAAGTCTTAACATAGAGTAACAACTTTTCAAAGGGATAAGTGGAGGCAGTTGCCTTGGCAACATTTCTGTTCAACTGTTGTGGCATCTCCTTCAACTCTATATTATACGACCAATTTGCCTATCGAAACCTCTCAATATCTTGTTTTTTTACAATTCCGCTTAAGATGTCACCTCAAATGTAGTTAACAGGGCTTGTGAGACCAAAACCAGGACCAGAAGAGGACGAGACAAGCAAATTGGCCATTTAAAGAAGAGTTGAGAGGTGAAGAATTAGTGGTAGGAGTTGGGGCAAGGGGAGGGGATATAGCACAACGGTTGAACATAAAATAGGTCAGGAGGATTGCTTTTCCTTGTAACTTCGAATTGTTGTAATGTAGTGTCTTATTCCATAATATAGCTCTAAGTAATATTCGCTTGCGGGCTGCGGCTGAGTGTAGAGTCACAATATTAGATAACCTACAGTAAATGAGTTAAGCATGTGTGTGTCTGTGTAAGTGGGTGTGTGAGTGTAATGAGGAGTGTTCTTTTGTATGCCTGGCAAATGTATGAACGCCGAAGTGAGTGGTATGCTGACGTGAGAGAGCACGAGGATTGTTTTACTTGATTTTGAAGTGGACAAATGAAGTGGTAGATCTCCACACAAACGGCTCCGAAGGAGGCCAGAAACAAAGACCCCAAAGAAAGTAAAAAAATAGGATGAAGGTGGGGAAGAGGATGACTGA